TGATTTCTCCCCTAGACCGAATTCTACGATTCTTTGGTCTACCAGGTTGCTTCTTCGTACATGGTGGCAAAATATTAACATCCACATCCGAACTTTCATCACGATATACAGTTGGTACTGGATAAATCGGTTCAGAATATGACATCTTGTACGTGCTGACATGATAGTAATAATCAACAAATTCGTTGATATTCCGCCCACTCTTTCGTATTGCAGAAATCGCATGTGAACAAGGAAACCCATTTATTTGCTACTGACGACATGAACACGTGTCATTCACAATATCAATGGTGACCGAAGGATATGACATCACTTCATACACTTGGTTATTCGAAACCCGCACAGTCCATGACCTTCCCTCATCAAATGCAGCTTGTAATCTCGAAGACATATTAGGACATAAATTCTCATTCCAATCCGAACATATCTTCATCCTTTGACCAATTTGATCCATTATCTGTCCCCTAATTGTGTCAACCATGCTAGTAATAGGTAAATGCCGAGCTTTCAAAATCCACGCGTTAAACGATTCGACAGCATTAGAACACATCTCACCATAACGTTTCCCTGAAAAATGAGCATTTGTCCAGTGTTCATATGGAAGATTAGACAGGAACCTGTCCACATTAGAACCTCTTTGACGACGAAACGCTTCAATCTTTTCATTAAAAAGTGACTGTGTTGGTGCATAAGCACACTCACGTAACAATCTCACCATGCGTTCTCGAAATACATTAGAAAAACGACCACCACTTAATTTATCCCGCAAATTACCTTTCAAATGCTGCAAACAAAATGCATGATGGGCATTTGGAAAAACTTTCGGCATTGCCTCTAATAGACCCAAGTTCCGATCAGATACAAATATAACAACTTGAGACTTATCCAATATATTAGATAACTGTTCTAAAAATCAAAACCAGTTTGCTTCATTCTCCGAATCAACCACAGCAAATGCCAAAGGAAACAAACCTGGAAAAATGCAGCACATACAATATTAGTGAAAATTAAAATAAAAAACAGTGTAACAGATGAGATGGTAATTCGAAAACATTTTTGGGTGGTGAATGGTAATAATCCACTATTTCATATCATTGTGTAACACCAACAATGTAACAATAACACAAACAGAGTGTAACAACGAAAATGTAACAATACAACAAACAGAGTGTAACAAAGACAGTATAACATAAAGATTACAATTTAACCACAAAATGTATCATTCAAATAACCTTATTAAAATATACCTTGGTTGTCATCTTTTCCTGTAGTCGATAGAAGATTATCTTTATACCTGTCTTTCAAAAATGTGTCATCCAAAAAAAGTAGTGGACGACAATAATTAAACCCATGAATACAACTTTTAAAGGAAACAAACAACCTTTTGAAACGATTAGTATCATGATCACAATCTAACACAATATGGCTGTCCGGATTAGTACGATTTGTTGCATCGACATACCAACGTAATTGTTGGTACGATAATGAATGGTCCCCAAAAAGCATACATTTTGCTTTCTCAACTCCTTCTCATGCTTTATCATAAGAAATGATGAGTCCATAATCAGAAAAAAAATCAGCAACCACTTCCGTTGGACGTGTTGTGCTATGCCCACGAACACGATCAACAATAAGATTTGCAACAAATTTAGAACTCATTCGCTTGTTATCTGTCGTTCATAGATCCACACCACAAATGTGTTTGTTGTTCAATTTCCTAATATAAAAAAAATCAGTAGATCTCTCCACAGTTGCATATATATGTCACCCACACCCAGAAGAATACTTAAATTAACATTCAGCAATAACTATTTTCTTACAATTCCTTACATAATTAAATTCAAAACCAGACTCAATCGAGTATTTGCAAAGTGCTTCCCGAAACTGTACCACACCACCTTCAAATTTCTGTCGTACGTGCCGTATTTCATTACTCCACCCAGTTGTTCGAAGAATTTTTTCATTGTGACCAATAAAACTGGGTAACAAATCCACTTCACATTCAACAACATCACCAATATTCACATACTGTAATGAATTATCACCACCCATCGACCCATCCTCGGTATCTTCCACAAACACATTAACTTCAACGTAATTTCCTGGGAAACAACATTTCAATTCAACCAAATTTTTCAAATCAGCATCGGTTCGTAACATGCATGAGGGGTGACTAGGAATAGAATATGACATATGTATTGACAAGTTAAACAACTCCTTCCACGTCTCGCAAACTTCGCGAATCAGCTCTGAAAAATTTAAATTACCACCTACTTTAAATGCTTTAGTAGCATTACCATATGTACATAACAACAACATTGTTTCCTCCATTGCTAACAAACTATTAAAAGAATAGGTACAATAAAAAATCAAATAAAAAACATATATTCAAACAAATAAAAACTGAAAAAAATTAAACATATTCATTTAGTATGCTAATAGTTTAAATGTAACATACCTTGTAATTCCTGTTATGATATTGTCAGGCTAAATGCTTCAGTCTTCGACTGGAACAAAATCTCAAACACATACGTTTGAAGAGTAATATTGGCTTGCAGATGAAAGTAGAGGAAGATAAAAATTAAAAGTGTAAAGTGTTAATATCGTCTCGTAGGTGACGAAAAAAATCGGCTTCAATCTTAAAGAAACTTTGTTTCATGCACAAATATACCAGTGCTTGTTTCAAGGCTTCACTCTTAAAAATACCAGTGTAATGTCAATGAAGAACAATATCGGCTTGCAGCTGGATGAAGAAGAAGCATAACTTGCCTCAAGGTTTGAAGAAGAAGCAAAATCGTCTTGCAGGTGATGAAGGAATATACCCAGCTTTTCCAAGAATAAACCCATAAATATACCCAACTTTTTCAAGAAAAAAACAAGCGTATATTTCTCTCTTAAAAAAAGATAAATTTAAGTGTATTTAAAATTTAAAATTTTATTGGAAAGTGTTGTATTTCTCTCCCATAAAACTAGGACTTATTTAATACACAAATATAATTTGAAAATTAATGTCTTTTCAATAAAAAAAAGACACATTCACCAATGGAGGACAAAAATGTCACAATAAAAATAGATAAATTCAAATTATGTACTTGGATACAAATAAGTATCAAAATTAAGTATTTAATAACCCTACATTTGTTAGTGTGGACTTTTTACCAAATAAGTCTAATTTTGTGTACCTCTTACAATTTACCCGCCTAAAAATTATGAGACTTTCCTCAAAGTGGGGCTAAAGCCCAAGTTTTAGTGGCCAAGTGATTGGACCGGCCCAAACTCTTAGGTGGCCATATTGATGTCTGAATGCTTTAGAAGTTTGTCAACAACCAACACCTTCATCGAGGGAGAAAATGGAGCACGTACTAATTTGCGTGACTGCTCCCCTCCATAGGAAATTCTCAACTTGATTAAAAGAAGAAGAAGAGAATAAAAGAACATATTGAGTTGCCTTTCGTGATTTGCCGGTTTTGTCATTGATTAATAAATTAAAAAAATTTCTGGAACTGTCTACTTGCTTGTTCAATTGTTTTATATATGCAACTTTTTGATTGTCCACTTTCATGTTTAGAGCTTATTAGTAGTTAATACTTAATACACTCAATGCAAATCCATTATAATAACTATAAATGAAGGATACTATTGTAATTAATTGATCACTTAAGGGCAAAATCAAAAAATAAAAATTTTCACCTTAAGGTGTATTTATAAGTAGTAGAGGTTTTTCCGAAACCCAGGCCTCCTCAAATCTTAATTCTAAAATTCAGTCAATTTTGAACTTATTTCTCAAACTCAATATTTTTTTTAAAAACGTCATTTGAAATGACATTTTTAGATGTTAAAACGTTATTTGGAATGACGATTTAAAGTCGTCATTTATAATGACATTTTTAAACATTAATTTTTAAACGGCCACTAACAGATGTTAAAAAAAATAAAGGGGTTCAAAATGTCATTGTAAAATGACGTTTTAAAAATTTCTGCCTCTTTATAAACAATGACGTTTCGTGCCCCCTTTATTAACAATGATGTTTTCTACCCCTTTATTTACAATGAAGTTTTAAAAACGTTTTCTTAGCCTTTTACAATGACTTTTTCTTAGTCAAAAGTCTCCAACCTACTTGTAATAAATTTCATAAAAGCTAATTACTCCAACTAATTTCTCACATCATGATTTACTAGGCAAAAAAAAAATTAAATAAATTTCAGAATTTAATTCTGTTTTCATAATAATTTTGAACTTATTTTATAATCGAAAATAAAATTCATAAAAACATAATTTAAGTTCATATTTTTTAATATAAAAACATATTTGTAAAACATATATTTAATAAAAAACTTAAAAGCGTGAAAACACACTTCTATATCAAAAAAAGTATGTATTCCTCTATAGAGCTACCGAAAGAAAACTTATTCTTGGTTGTGCTCCACAAGTAGACCAGTCTTAAAGAGAGAATGATCCAAGTTCTCTAACTGAATTCCCCAGCCAATTTCAGTACATATTAAACCCAACTATTAAAATTTCAAAGCATTTTAGCTTTAAACAAGCCATCATGAATTTAATTCATTTCACCTACTAGTTAGGTAGTTATTCTTCAATAGCAATGCTTCCTCACAACATCACAAACAGAGAAGACTTGAAGCTTTATCTATGATAATCATATACCTCCAAAAAAAAAAAAAGAAGCAACAATACCATTCATTTCTTGTACATTTTGAAGCCGCGATAAATAAAATTCAATTTTCCATTATTTTTCTTTATATAAGTGTACCCCAAACCAAAGAACAACAAGCACTAATAACAGCTTCCATGCAAAAAAGCTATACATCATCATATAGGCTGTATGTACAAAACCCTTTCCATTCATCTTCCTCTTTCAAACTCTTCACAAAACATATTGCAGCCAAACCACTCTCTAACCCTTTTCTACTTTCATCCTCCTCTTTTTCTTCATTGTATTGTATGTTAGGTGTGTTGCCTGTATGGCTTGTTGGCATGTTGTTCAAGGATTGTTTTTTGCCAATATTTCCAACAGAGAGAGAGCCTGCAAAATCCAAAACCAGACCAATATTTTAGCAAACTGTGCATTATAAAGTGTTATAAAGTGCTTTAAGCAAAAAGCTTGTTAAGGAAATGTTGAGTAATTACCTCTGGAATGTTTAGCTCAAGTCGAAACTTAGGGCCATTGTAGTGATGAAGAATAGGCCTGAAGGAATCCTCTTCTAATGGCTCGCAAACTTGCCTGGTCATAACTCGCATCTGTCCACAAACAGAAGACTTGTAAATCATAAACCCGAAAACAAAATATGTTGCAACCTTGCTGTGCTTTTATGCCAAATCCTTGCCAATAAATAGCAGTGTAAACTAGATATCTAACATTGTTTCTAATCAAATCTAAAAGAGATCCGAACATCCACTTCTATTGTTTGACCATTAACTCAGATGCATAAGAAGCGAGAACTCAATGAAGACACACCTGAGCAGGGAATCGTGATTCACCAGGGTTCTTTTTATCCTCCCATGCTGTTGGATCAATGTTTGCTCCTTCAAAGCTTGCAGCCTATATATAAGGACAATAGCAAGAAAACTACATCAGCAATCAAGTAATACCTAAGCCGAACAACCTAAAATGTAAACTCTCTTAGGTAATTTTGTAAAACAAAAAAGTAATACCTAACAAGAGCAACCTAAAGCCCATAATTTAAATCATAACAAACCAACTTGAACAATGTTTGAAGGCCCAGAATGTTATATAGTTGCCAATTTCACAAATAACTGCTAATTCTAAGTAGTGGAAGCTCAAGTCTCTTGCCCCAAACACCGTCCCTTACCAACTAGGAAACTTCTTGTTAAACAACTTTAAAAACTTCTTAATCTGTTCTTGAATTAGTGACAACTTTAAAAACTCTATTAAGTCATATCGTTTCAACTTTTCAAAAAAAACCCATCTTCGAGTGTAATTAATTTACTTTTTGAAAAAAACCAAGCACTATATAAATGTCCATCACCATATATTTAGAAACCACCCATCTTAAACAACAATAAACAAAACACCACCACCCCTTAACCTTGATACAATACAAGCAATGGCTCAACTTGATGCTATGCTGTGCTAAATTCTCTCCCCCTGTTTTCGTTGCAGGTATTGTGACTTATACCCTTGACAAAATATGTGCAAGGTAATTCATTTTTGTTAGTGCATTTGATTGACTCATTTTTTTTTTTTTTTCTGGAAATGAATATTCAAGAAAAATGGCTTTTTGCTAAATCAATGCAAGTCTATAAAGCTGAATATGGTTGTGAGCAGGCAATCAATAACCATAAATCTGCATCATGGAATTTAAAACTGGCATTTTCCCTTCATTCTATTGGATTTATACTTCCTACACACTTCATCTACAATTAGGATCAATGCACTCAGCGACAGCAGATGTAGGAGAGGAGTAGTGTGAGACTCAATCACGCATTGCATGCAGTATAATTTTGTGGGTTAAATCTTAATTATGTAAAATTATTATAAGGGTAATTAAATTACATCTTTCATAAGCATGATGGGTAATTAAATACATGAGCTGTCTTATTTTATTTTAATGGGTTGTTTTAAATCAAATTTCATGGGCTGATTTAGTTAATGTCAAAACAGATTTTATATGGGTGTAATTAAATATATTTAACATAATTAACGGGCTATAAAAAATTAGGTTCCAAATGGGTACTAAAATAAAGATTAGAAAAATATGAAAAATAATTATTTGATATGTTCGATATGTTTTTGAGGGCTAGGTTGGAACCAATATTATGGGAGTGACATGAGTGATTTAAAAATGCAATTGGGGGGGGGGGGGAGGGGCTAATTTTTCATAATTTAGTGAATTTATGAGTTTAGGTATAATTGTTTTAAAAGAAAGTATGATAAAAATTGAAAAAGGGTACCGGTAATGCCGAAACCCTGATTTCTAAATATTATTATTACATGTGCGAATTTTAATCCAAATGACCTGAAATTTTGCATGCAGCATTTTTAAATGATGTTTGATGTGATAATGTGAGTTTTGAATGCAAATGAGTATAATATCTGGTGCGAAATGTATGAAATGCCAGAAGTGCAGTTTTTAGGATTCGGGATCAAAATGTGTGAAAATGGGCCCCCGGTCAATGTGTTTGACCTGCTTAATCTTAATTGTGATTAATGTGATTAAATTTGGGAATTTATAGAGGAAATAAGATCCCTAGAACAAAAGTACTAGTGTGTGAGTGGATAGGACGGTAACCAGAGTTACTGGGGCACTTTGGGGTACATCATTTGCATGCATTAGTACATGATTAATTATTAAATTTGATAACCATATTGATATTGTAATTACCAATGTGTTAGGTGGAATGAGTGAGTCATTCAGTAGTGAAATAGGTACGGTGACACCGAAAGGATCCACTGATAGGATCAGAGGGCCGTAGATTTGTACATCTGAGGTGGTGTATATCTTTATATGTTTTGAAAATACTATTATCAGATGATAGTAAATGTTAGAATTTAATAGTAATTCTTCAGGATTATGTGTTACATGCTTATGTGATTGGATGATACTTTGTACTATGTATTGTGTATTGTGAAATGTGGCGCATTGTTTGAGACAGGGGCGTCGATGCTTGGTCATTGGGCGTGCAGTGATGTGCTAGCACTGTGGTGTTCCTGGGAGGTTCGGGAGACACGGATCCATGTGGGATCAATTACCCAATGAGGGGTAGTGTGGATGTGATGTGGCTTGTGAATTTTTTGGAATTGAATTGATGTTGTTGTCTGATACGTGTATCTACGTAATAGCTATCTACTGCAATGTATTACTATCATTTTCATTCCATATACTGCATGTATACTCACTGAGCACGTAGTTTAGCTCACACCCCTACAATTTATTCTTTCAGGTACTATAGAGGAGAATGCGGACCGGTCTACTGTCCAGTTGATTGAGTCTTGTGCAACATTAGTGTGATACCACTCAGGTTGAGTGTCGGTATGATTAACTGTTGGGCTGTATATTATATTTATGAGAGATATTTATAGCACGTTAATAATATATATTTGTAAATAGACTCGCCAAGCATACTTTGTGATGTATGCTATGTGGGTGTGGGATTTTGTATATGTTTATAACCTGTAAAATAAATGATTGGTACAGGTGTTTATATATAGTACAAGTTATCAAACAGGTTTTACCATCATGTTTAATAACTAAGGTGATGAGTGTTGTTGTTGCACCTGTGAGATTATATTATGTTTGATTAGTCCAGCTTATAATAATTGTTTACAAGTGTATGTAAAACCTAATCGCATCTCATCCTTGGGAGATCGAGATAGGACGTGACAAGTAGTGACCGATTACTCATCATACCTCTTGCTCGATGTGAGTCGAAGATGGTCACTCGGTGGAGGACTCGATGGAAATGCCTATGGAGCTTTGATCTGATGGATGGAAGACTTGATGGAGCTCGGTGGATTAGAGTTGTGCTTAGTTGTTGTAGCAATGTTCAATCGTTGGTGTTCTGGATCGATTTAGTCTGGAATGGAGAATGCTTAGTCTGAAATGGAGAATGGAGAATGCTCACTGCTCATTCGCTGACTCGCTGGATAAACAATGGTTGGAGCTCGTCGAAGAAGAGGGTGGGTGGAGGAGTTTGCTCACAGTCGTTTGTGGAGGAGGAGAGCTGAGCGTGCAAATGTTCGAAAATTTTTAACCTGGTCTGTGATTTGGAAAATTTTAAGGGAAGAGATATAACGTTCAAATCGTCATTGTAAATGACATTTTTATTTGAACCCATTTATTTATTTTTAACGTCCATTAGTGGCCGTTTAAAAATTAATATTTAAAAACGTCATTATAAATGATGATTTTAAAAACATCATTAAGAATTACATTTTCAGAAAAAAAAAAAATTTTAACTTTAAATCATCATTCCAAATGACATTTTAACATCTGAAAACGTCATTTCAAATGACGTTTTTTTAAAAAAAAAGTTGGGTTTGGAAAATAAGTTTAAAACTGACTGGGTTTTGGAATTAAGATTAGAGGAGGGCTGGGTTTGGAGAAAACCTCGTAGTAGTATCTATATAATAAAATAACTTACAATTCAAATTTCAAAAAATAAATAAAATGACTTTTGCTTTTCGCGGTTCAGATCGTTTTAAATTTTACTTTAAAGTTAATCTAACGGCTAATATTAACACCCTAAATCTAATAGGAAAAATAGGCCCTAAGGATGTGTTTGAAGTGATTTTTTAAAAATACTTCTATGAATTATTTATCATAAATAGTTTAAAAAAAAAGTGTTCGAAACCGTTCCACCATTACCTCTACCACCACCACTGCCACCATTACCATTGCCGCCGCCGCCACCACCATTGTCGCCGTAGCCGCCGCAGCCACCACCGTCATTGCCACCCTCCACGACCATTACTGTCTCCTACCACCACCACTGCCGCCCACCACCTCTCACCCCCACTACAACCGATATTTAAATTAAATTATCTCTCCTTTATGTTTGTGATTTGATTTTGGATATAAATATAAATATATTTATTGTTTATTATTTTTTATTACTATGTGCCTTCAGACACAGAGAATAACTAGTAGATTTATAAAATACCAGCATACATGAAAAATATTTTTTTTCACCTTTACCCTCCAACAATATAACTATGTCATGCTTATCCTCCAAATTTAATGCCACAACAAATTCATCTTTCGGCTTTTGGTTATCTTGTTCTAAATCTATACTATATATAAATGTGCTAACTTGCAAAATTTTGGAGTTTTAATTTTCATTATTTCTATGAACTCAATTAACTCCTTGTTGTCTTTTCATCTTCTTTTTTTTAATACCTCATTAAGTGGTCATTGTGTTGATTATCACAGTAAGCAATAACCTTTGGAAAGCTTATCCATTCGACACTATCAAAATTGTGAACCCAATGCACTTCTCTCTCTCTCTCCTATGCTTGTCTATTTTCTGTGTGGATTAATCAACTCCCACATATCACTCCCTTTCTCAAGTCTCAGAATTCCCAGATCTGATTCATCAATTTCCCAAACTTTGGGTTTCAATTAGAGCACTTTTTGAAAACAATGTTGTGAATTCGAATGCACCGGCGCAAGAGAAAACTTTAGATTCGAGACACAAAACAAATGTTTTGGGCCTGTGAACGTACCATTTTTATGCTATCCACTATGTTTTATGTTAGATTATAGATTTCATTGTATTCTGCTTGTGCCTATTTTGACTTACATTCATTCAACTAATTATTGTATTGTTATTTTTTTTTGGGTTAATTGATAGCTTTTGCATCATTGTTGTTGAAACAACGTTGTTTACAAATACTTCGACATCAATTATTGGTTCTTGTAACTAAATGGACCTATGTAGCTTCAAGGAACTAGGAATTCTGTTCATCCACTTGCGAAGTGGCATGTGTAGTGACTACAAGAGAAAGCAACACGACTTCATAATCATTGGTATTGCCATTTCTGAGTTTTTGTTTTCTTTTGTTACTTCTCTTGTTCTGCTTACACCTCTATATTGTTTGTATTTTTTTATGAGGAAGAGATTTTCAAAGTACTATGTCATGTACTTTTTTTATATGCCATGAAAATAAAAATTGTTGATAACTATTTTTGCAGTGAATTTTTTTTTTTTTCGATTTTATTGAGAGAAAGAAAAGCAAAATCTGAAGCACTTGCTCATACCAAATACCTGGGTGTAAATGTGTGGAAAACTTGGCCGCTTTATTATAATACAACCTTTGAACTCTCAATTTTAATATAAAATAAATTTAAAATTGTTTGGCTATGCTTACCAAAGAAAAACAAGTTTGACATATGGAACATGATCACATGAAACATGATTTCTATATGGATTTCGTTGATATTTTGGGCTGCTACAGTTTGGCCTATTTTTGTGGATATCAAAAGGATATTATCCTACCAAAGGTGGGTTGTGTAGTTCTTGTCTCATGTTGAAGGCTCTGGTTGTTACACTGTTGGCCAGAAGCTTGGAAAGAGAAGAGTGGCTTTAACTTGACACCTTGTTTATTTACACTACTGATTCAAAGCATTTCTAATGGATGTTTGCTTTGAAATGGATGTGGCTGGTGAAATTTTCAACATCTAGACAAAATTATAGAAGGGAAGAGAGTAAAACTGGAAGGGGCAGGGGATTGCTTTTTTATTTTCACATTTGTCCTATTAATATCCAATATAGGGCAGCTATATATATGACAATTGTGAAACCATACTAAAACATTGGGGATATTCAAGAAATCCTCGGTTG